CCAGCCACGTCCCTCTGCCCGCCCCAGGCCCTCCCTGCAGCCCGCATCCCCGCTTCCTCCTCCTGCTGGCTGCGCTTGCACTTGAGTTCCGGGCTGTCCAGGGCTCTGGGACGGGGCGGCCTCCGCCATTCCTCTCTCAGCCTTATTTTCCCTTCTGCCGCCAGCAAGAAACAAACTGCACAGCTCAGAAAACAATCCATCACTTTGTCACAACATTTCCATTTCAAAGACTTCCTTTCCAAGCTTCTCTCTGGCCAAATGCTTCCTCTCATTAGCATGAGAAGAACTGGCAGGAAAATTGAGTGACAAGGAAGGGAGAGGAAGTGGCAACGGGACTGTCAGCCTGAGGACTCTGCCTGCATCTAGGCGGGGGCAGGGAGGGGCGCTGGCCGGGGCAGGTACTGTTGGGAGAGAGAGAGAGAGAGAGAGAGAGAGAGAGAGAGTGTCTGTCTGTCTGTGTCTGTGTCTGTGTGTCTGTGTGTGTGTCTGTCCGTGTGTATATATGTGTGCATGCGTGTTACTGTGACTGTACACTCAGATCCTTGTGAGCTCATGCTTCTCAGCACTCATGATGCATGCCACTTGGGCAGCGATTTGCCCCTCGTGTCACCAGGCATAAGTCTCTCTCTGGCACTTGGCCTCCACAGTGTGCCAGGAGCTCCCCTGGGTGCTGAGGATTCAGAGGAAAGACTCGGGTGCCATCCATCAGGGACTGGTGCAGGGAGACCAACCCGTGAGTGACTACAACAGGATAAACGCTGTTGTAAAGATCCCTGCCGAGCAATTAGGAAGTGGGAAGATGGGAGTCAGTAGAGTGGGGGTGTCATCTCAAAGCACACGTGAGCTGGTCTTGAAGGATGAGGAACAGTTCACAGGCTAGAGAGAGTGGAAAAGGCATAGCAGGTAAAGGGAAGGGCATGAGCCAGGCCCAGAGGCCAACCCTACAGGGCTCGAGTGTGGCCGTGGCAGCCGGCACTGGGCAGCAAATGCGGGCTGGGTGGGTGTGGTAGCCACGAGGCTTGCTCAGCTGCCCTCTGCCCTCTCCCTGCCCTGGTTCTCGTCGGCAGGCAGACCTGGTGGGAGACCGGGCAGTGAGTCAGCCCGGACCTGCGAGGGTCCCCTCCCAGATCACAGCTCCCACCGGCCTCCAGGTTGCCCCTGACAACAGATGTGCTGACAGCTCTTCCCAAGACCCCTTCTCCCCTCGCAGACCCCACAGAGAACTGGGCCTGGTACAGAGCCCAGTGTGGGTTCTTGGCAGAACCTTAAAACCATGGAGGCAGCTTGGCCACCTTCTCTCCCCTTCAGTGTCCTTCCAACATGTGCTGAGCCCTCCCCAGGGACAGCGAAGGACTGGGAGTGTTCCAGGCTCTGGGACGAGAAGGGGAAGATGTGGGGTGGGCCTGAGCGCGTGTGTGTTGGGAGTGGGGGAGGGGGTAAAGACTCAAGAGGAAAGAGGACACCAGTATCAAGCAGTGTGATTCTTGAGGACCTCTCTGATTGCATCATTTGTTCATTCATTCATTCGTTCATCTCCTCTTTAACAGTACTTGGGAGTGGCATGCCATGAGTCAGGCACCCAAGGTATCAACATGAGAGGAGCACAGTGTCTGTCCTCAGAGAGCCCACAGTCCGTAGCAGAGACAGACAAGGAAATAAATGTCAGAATACGAAGCATTACCCTGAGGAGAGCCGGGGCACGGGGAGGGCCCTGGTCCTCCAGCCTGGTCAGGAGCGTCCTGAAGAGATTTGGACTGAGGTCAGGTTTGAAGGACAATTAAAAATCAGTCAAAGGGACCAGGCGTGGAGAACATTCCAGGCAGAGCTTTCTCTGCTCCTGAATCCCCAGGAGCAGAATGCGGACTCTCCACACCCTATTAGCCCCGGGAGGGAGCTGCCTGAGGTCACCGTGTGGTCCGCAGCCTCTCAGGACAGGATGGCCACGGGGGCCAGATGGGCCCGGGGTGGCCCGGGGGTGGGCTGGGTGTGCAGTGGGGGAACATTTGGTCCAAGCCTCCCACTTATGAAAGTCATCATATTTAGACTTTCTTCGTTATGTTCAATTAAAGTTTAGGTGTTTAAAATACAATTAGTCAAGCATAAACCACTGAAATATAACACAATTTTTGTGAGCCTGTTCGGCACTTTTTTTTTAATCTACAAGAAGCCTAAAAATAATGAAAGTGGCCCAGTTCTGTCTCCTTCTTGGCAAACAGACAGCAATTGGGCTTAGATAAGAAAAGCGAGGCTCGGAGAAGTCACCCAGTGCCGGACCTGTTCCTCGGCACCACGCTCGCCTCCCTGACCCCGTTCGGCTCAAATGCCGAGGCCCGCGGCCCTCTGTCCTTGAAGCCTTGGAACGTTGCACAGTAACTTCGGCCCCAGCCTACTCCAGGCTCCTCCGCTCACCCTGGACTGTAGCCTGAGCCCTCCCTCCTCCAGGTCACCCCCTCAGCCTGCCCCTGCTCCTTCCCTGCCAGAGGCCACCTATGCCTCTGTGACTCGTGCTGGCTGTTCAGCCACAGACCCAGACAAGCAGTGCAGACAGTATATCCACTGCCCGAGGCTCTTCATCTTGGTTGTCCTTGGGCATAGCTGAGAAAAGCCCCATGAAATGCCCCCGAAGGACCCTGTCAATAGACTCCACAGATCCTGCTGGGAACTCCCCGCCACATACTCATCTTCATAAAAGACAGTCTCCTTTGTGAAGTGTCATGGACAAACCTATACCTGCAGGACTCACTTGCTCCTCAGGTGTTAGCAGGGCGAGTGTGGTCAGGACAAGACAGGGCAGGGACCGACAGCACATGGCCCAGAAGCCGGGGCAAGTGCCCCATCCCCTGTTGAAGAAAACACTAACCTTTTTGATGGAATGATGGACCCGCTCACCGGGCACTGGCAAGTCAGGTTCGGAGCCTCCAGAACTGAGGCTGGAACCCTGGGCCGTGGTCACAGCAACCTCAAGACCCTCAGGCCTTCCGCAACGCCCTCGGCCTGCTCTCCTGCCTTCTCCAAGGGGCAGCCAGGCCCTTCTCTTAACTGACCCCGAGCTTTTCTCTACCTGAGTCAGCGCTCTCTGCTCAGCCCCGTACCCTAAGCTCTTGCTCTCCAGGTACAAGTCTCATCATGCGATGGTCTCCCCTACTGTACTCTTTCCTTAGAAAGATCTAGAGTGAGATAACAGGAAGGCAAATAGACCTTGGTTTTGCCTGACCTGAGCTTGAAATGGCCAATTCCCTTGGGAAATCTCTACCCATCAGCGGTGTCTCCAACCCTCCCCCACTGATGTGGCCCCAGCTTTGCCAGACATACCTCGCGACAGCCCCACCCCACCCCATAAAGGTGCAGGGCTTTAGCCCCAACGGAAGCGAGGCTGTGCATAAATGTGGTATTTATTGAGAACCATCTGCCTGAAAACTTGATCTATGCGCATGCGTGCATGTGTGTGCACGTGCATGTGTTTGGAGCAGCGTGGTCCACGGTCAATGGTACAATCAGATGGCCTTGGCCAGCCCCACGCGGTTGTTGGCCCTGTCGAATACGCTGAAATACTCCCGGATGAACACATCCCCCAGGATCCACAGCTGGGAGTCATCTTCGCCCTGGAAGCCACTGGTGCAGAAGTCCATGTCCTGGGAAAGGCAGGATTGAGGTGAAGCTGCCCAGCGCCTTCCCCTAACCCACCCCACGCCCAATTGCTCTCTCTTCTGTTAGTTCCCTTCATCCCTGAAATCACCTTCCAAGGTAGGCAAACAAGCATCAGATTCATCTCACTCAACAGATAAATAAATTGATGTTCAAAAAATTAAGTGCCTTAATCCAAGATCGCCTGGCGGGTCCCCTTACCCGACTCTCTTCACCTGTCCTCTCCAGCCCCCTGCCTTCCAATTCGCATCACCTACTTTCCTGATGACCGGCCAGAGCAGGATTAGGGGCCCGAGGCCTTGCCAGTTTGAGATGCTTTGGATTAGGTCGAAGCTGAGGCCAGCAGATCAGCAGGGATGATGGTCAGGTCCCCACAGAGCCCAAGGTATCTAAGAGATTCCTAGGCAGAGCTCCAGCCCCCTGGGCTCGGCAGCTGGAGCAGTGGGTGGAGGTTCCACAGGACGCTGTGGTCCTGCCCCTCCCCCTGCCGCCACTGAAGCCACTGGGCTCTATCCCTCTGAACTGCCCCATTTATTCCAGAACCAGCCGGCAGCAGCCACAAACAAAGCCCAAGGACAACGGGGCCCCACTCAGAAGGGTCAGTAGGCCTACACTACGCCCTGCATTGTCTATCGAGGACCTGCCGCTTAACCACTTAATCACCAACTTCGCTGACTTGCGCGACAGAGGAGGAGGGAGCTCGGCCAGCTGGGGCGCCTTCTCCTGAGACTCATACCTGGCTGGTATAGGCGGAGGGGGGCAGTGGGTACGTTCTGCCGTTGATCTCAAAGACCACCGTGGGCATGCTGCTCAGGCTTCCACAGTTGATGTTAAACTAACAGACAAACAGACAAACAAAACAAAACAGAAACTGACTCATGGACTCAGAAAACAAACTGGTTGCCAGAGGGGTGGGAACGGGTGAACAAGGTGAAAGGGACTGAGGGGCACTAACTTCCAGTTACGAAATAAATGAGTCATGGAGATTTCATGTGCGGCGTAAAGAACATAGTCAGTAACATCATAATAACTTGGTACGGCGACAGATGGTAACTATCAGTGATCACATCGTAAGGTGTGTAAATGTCGAATCACTGTATTGTACACCTGAAACTCATTTAATATTGTATGTCGCTGTACTTTAATAATAAATAATATTTTTTTTAAAGACCAGAGGATGTCCTCTTTAAAGGATGATGAGTGTCATCTGACTGGAAGAGGCAGAGAAGGTCCCGGGCAGGACCCCTTCCTCTGCACCAGAAGCCAGGTGATGGGGAGGAGACTGCCTTCTCAGAGGGCCTTGGGGAGGCTCTCGGGCTGGGACTCCCAAGACGTGGTCCTCAAAAGAGTCACATTGATAAGGACCAGCTGTCAGCCAACCCAGGGACAGGCCCCAGCTTGGGACGAAGAGAGGTTTGCCCCAGAGTTTCCCCTCAGGCCCAGCCAGGCTCCCGAGAACACCGAGAGCTCTTAGCTCTCAGGGAGGAAGAGGGGAGACCAGTGGGTGGAGGAGGAACAAGGGGGCACAGCAAAGCTCAGCGGTCAGGGACGTGCGACCCTCCTGGGGACGAGACGTCAGGCTGTCGCCACTGGGTGAGACCTGGGAACAGCGGTGAGTCACAGCCGGAAGGCCACTGTGAAGGCCTCCCCGGAAATCCAAAAAATCTTAACTTCTGTGGGGTAAACAGGCTTCCTTACCCATTCCCTTTGCCATTTCTTCCATGTGCAAAGGAGGGGCAGGGGCAGGGGTGTAAGGGCCTGGACTCACCAGGCCATACTGGTCCTCTGTGGCACCGATGGCCTGCTGGATGTTGAGGATGTCACTGCTAGGCCCAACCAGCATGGAAGTGCCTGTGTCCAGGATGGCCTGACAGCCACCGTCACAGGCCACCACCACCCCGTCAACGGTGACGCTGCAGAGGGGGACAGGATGGCCTTGTGGTATTCTGGCATCTGGCCCTTCCTCCCCGGGGCCCTGCGGATTCTCCCCTGCCAGGACCCTCAGGCCCCTTTTAAGTCTCCATAACTTCCTGAGCTCAGAGGAAAGACAGAAAACCATTTTCTCCCAACTCAGTGGCTAAATCGAGGCCACCCCACCTTCTATGGGACAGAAACTGCCATAAAACAGCAAAGTCCTGTGCATTTGGGGTGGGTTGTGTACTGCACCAGTCACTTGAAGATCTGGTTTCTTCAAATTTTCTCCCCACCATTTACTTGCTGCACATCTGGGCAAGTTAACTCAACCTTCCTGCCCTCAGGCTTCTCACCCACAAAATGGGCACGTTAACAACGCCTTCCTTGACTTCCCCCGGGATGGGAGTGAGGTTCAAACTCGATATTAGTAAAGGATAAAATGAGGATGACGATGGCGCCTACCTCATGAGGCTTTAGTGAGGACTGAACGAGACAGTCATGTTACCACTCGGTACGACACCCAACAGGAAGCAGGTGCTCCATTGGCACAGCTCGCCATGTTAGCAAAGACTAGGTGAAGGTTTGACATTCTCACTGTCAAAGGTCATTGGCCTCGCGAGTGTCTAATTCAGACTCTGATGTCATGGTCTTTGGAGCTACCGTGCTGCAGGCCTTCTCAGAGCCTCCTGGGCTGCCACCCTGGCCCTCAACGTCCCCACACCTAAAGTCGGCCTCTGGCCGGGTTCACAGCTGCCCATCACTCACCTGTCCACAGTGAACTGCCAGTACTCCCGCACGGTCACGGGCACCCAGTGCAGTGAGCCTCTGTAGTAGGATGAGTCGATGGCCCCCAGCGTCAGCATGCTCCCCTGGTCATTCCTGAAACCAAGGACAGGCTCGTTGTGGCTCCAACACCCGGCTGCAGCATCCTTTTCCTCTGAGCTCTGCAGACCCCTCCCCCAATCTGAGGCAGCATCGGGAGCTGTGTGAGGGGAGGTCAGGAAGCAGCCCACCTTGCAGGCTGCATGGCTGCCAAGCTCTGCGCAGGCCACACTCAGGTGTTCCCAGCTGTCGCCCTGTGCCCCCGCCTCCCACCACCCAAAACGTTCTGCCCCCAGCCCTTTGCCCACGAGCAGAAGGGAGTATCCTCAACGAGGTCCCACACACTTTGAATTAAACTATCACCTCAGCCCAAACTCCTCTGTGTCCTGTCTCATGGCCAGGGAACGCCGATTGGCACACTAGTGTTACCTGCTTCCCACTCTGCTGTCCCGGTTCCTGGACTTCGTCAAGGACCCTGCCGCCTCCCTGCATGCCGTGCCCATTGCCTAAAATGCTCTGCCCCTCTGTCTCCCCTGGAAAGCTCCCACTCGTGCTCAGCGGCACTTCCCCTGCCACCTGCACACACACGCCTCGGTTAGACGAGGCTTCCATGTGACTGCTCAGCCTCTGATGTGTGTGGGTCTCCCCAGCAGTCAGTGAGCCTTTTCCCCACAGATTCATCATTGTGCATGTGACTGTGTGTGATCTGTGGACCCTGTAAAAAGTTAACTCTCAGCTTTTCTTGTTTGCTGATCTGTCCTCATCTCCTGGCAGAGTCCCTGCACTTGGAAGGAGCCCACAAACATCTACTGAGTGAATGAATGAATTAATGAATGAATGAATGAACCAATTTATCTCTTGCCTGGGTTCCTCTGACCTCAGCCACCCAACTGCTTCTCCCAGGTATGGTCCCCTTCTCCCTGTCCTGCCCCCACCCCTATGTCCAGCTGAGCTGCACCATCACCACGGCAGGTGGAGAAAGCTGGGGCAAGTGGATGAAGTCAGCCGCCCTGGATTCCAGGCGTGGCTCGGCCACCAGCTCCCCGGGTGGTCGTCCCTACGGGCCTCAGTTTCCCACACGTGAAAGGAGAAGGTAAGACTCCTCTGGACTCTGCTCTAAAAGTCTGTGAATCTCAATGACATCGACAAATGGTCACCGAGGCCTGCTGCTTTGTAAAAGAGTTAAGAGCCCCTGGGCAGAGATGGGGCCAGGCTTCTTTTTTTCTTTTTAAATGCCAGGACTGAAAGTCAGATTTCAGCCCAGTAAACTCTGGCTGCATCAGTGACTACGCTGGGGACCCTGCCTAGAAACAAGGAGAGGGTTTGCCTGGCCGCTGGTGACCACCGTGAGCTGCAGTGTCCCCAACGGGTGGACACTCTCCAGCTGACAGTCCTTGCCAGGCTGTGGAGATCTGGCCCAGGCTGGCTGCAGCTCCTACCTGCTCATGTACACAGAGAACAGGTCCTGGGCCACCAGGTGATGCTTCATCATGTTGTCAAACACAGGCACCGAGTCCTTGGCGGCCAGAGATGGGTAGGCCAGGCCCAGGATCCCGTCGAACTCGAAGTAGGTGAAGACGTCGCCAGGCTCCTGGGTGCTCAGGCCCACAGTCTGGCGGGAGTCCACAATGTTGGAGACCTGAAAGAGAAGCAGAGTGACCTCTACCAGGGGCCCTTCGCCGGAGGCAGCCAGGCCCCCCTCCCCCCGCCAGCCCGCAGTTAGCAGAGCTAACGAAAGAGGCCACCCTTCCCTGCTCTAGGCCACCCTTCCCTGTGCCAGGCCACCCTTCCCTGCTCTGGGCCACCCTTCCCTGCTCTGGGCCACGGTTCTGAGAGAAATGGCGCAGTGGGAGGGGAGGAGGGAGTGGGAGGACACAGCGGAGGATGCAGACAGCGTGTTCTTGGTGCAGAAGCTGGGGGACGAGCCCAAAGAAGGCAGTGGGATGAGGGGTGCCCCGAGGCCCTCTGCTGGCCTGTAGCCCTCCCAGGGGCTGCACCTGGGGCATCTCCCAGGGAACAGCTGTGGATGGACCAGAAGACCACACATGCATTTTGCATATAAAAGACCGGCTGAACTGACCGTGTCACCCGAGACAAGTACCTCTTGGAGCCTAGATCTCCTCATCTGTTTAATGGAATAATAGCACCTGCATCTCAAGGTACTGCTTAGGCTAAATAACACCAATGCTGAACATTTATCCAGCACTTACTAAGTGTTTGGCCGTTGAATATTTATTGGCATTCTGAGAAGGAGGTGCTAACTCCCAGATAGTCTATTAAGTTGCCCACTTGCCTGGACATCCGACTCTGAGCCACCATAGTGTCCCATGGGCCCCCCTACTTCCACTCTGTCCCAGTGACCCATCCCCCACACGGGCAGCCGAAGTGATCTTTGAAAATGGATATCAAGTCATGTCACCCCTCCAAAGGTTCCTGATGGCACTGAGGATGAAGCCTTTGTCCTAGAGTTCCCTGTGCTCTGGTCCTGCTTCTTACACCTCCTCTCACTCCTCTGGCCCCTTAACTCCTCTCCACCTACCCTGATATTTCTCTCCCTCGGATGCCCCAACTCGCTCTCACTTTCACGTGAGACGGCTGAGGGGGACCTGGTCCCTGAGGCTCTCTCTCCCTGCCCCCTCCCCATGGAGGGTGAGTGAACGCAGCCGGAAGCACAACAACCTAGGCCAGCAAGCAAGGGTCAGCTTCCCGGCAAAGATGCAGGCTCTTTTCCTGAACCCAAAAGACCAGAAAAGAAAGCAAATGGCCCCAGGTAGCGCCTGGGCAGGGGACATAGCCTTCCAGAGGCCTGTCTGCTGGGCCACCTCAGCCAGTGGCTGTCTGGTACTGACTCTTGGGGACACCTGAGTTGGGTGGGCACGTGCTCAGCCAAGGGAAGAGGCTGAAGAGGGGGCTGTCAACAGAGAAAGGCTGTGTCTTTTTCAGCTCAAAGCCAAAAAGGACTTCAGCCAGACCCAAGGAAGAACTCAAAGAAGATCAAGGTGATAAATGCCAAGGGATGCTGCTCCATTTTTCATCTTGGATGGTGGGTGGGGAAGGAAAGAAAGAAGCTAGCCTGCACTGGGCACTTACTTCGTGCTGTATTAGGGACTTCAGGGGCCAAAAAGAGGCGAGAGAAAGGGGACCTGTGTCCAGCGGGCATAGGTGCTCTTTGCCTTGAAAGAAGAGTGAGCTCCAGCCAAGAGCAGTGTTCAGAGGGTCGGGGACGTGGGTCTGGCACTCAGCTCTCACAGTCACCGACTCTGTGAGCTCAGGCAGGTTATCAACTCATCTGAGCCTCGGTTTCCTCGTCTGAATAGTGGGGATAATAATACCTTCCTCAGCCGGCTGTTGGAGGAAGTGGATTTAAGATGAGGTCACACATATGACACTGGCTCAGAATTCTCAACCAACCATGGCAAGGATGGATGACAAAACGGATTGGGGAGATGAACACTGGACCTGGAAAAGCCTCTGAGGACCGATGTGGACAACAGCGGAGGAGGGAGGTTCAGCCCCCCAGAGCCTCCGTGTCTGGGTAAGAAGGCAGCTGAGCTGACGGGGAGGGAAAGGTGAGCGCTGACTGGCCCAAAGCCCCACTCACGGTGACGGTGTCAGAGCCCAGAATCCCCTCCATGCTGCCTGTGCCGTACTGGATGGACAGGGGCTGGCCCAGTTTCTGGAAGGTGGAGGACTCGGATGAGTTGAAGCGGCGGTGGTTTTCTGGAACACAGACCCAGAGTTAGTGGGGCCCATCAGATATTCTCGCCACTCGACGTGCCAGCCAGGACTGAAACCCTCACTCGATCTTATAAAGATATAGTCCAAACGCTAACCATTGTCTCTACTGAAAATAAGCAGCCAGTTCTCTCTTAAACCCACAGAACTTAATAAAGAAAATGATTCTTTGCTGCTCAACCCACCAGTGCTACCTGTGAGTTTCCAAAGCGAGAGAGAGAGAGAGAGAGAGAGAGAGAAGAAAGGAAGAAGGAAGGAAGGAAAGAAGGAAGGAAGGAAGGAAGGAAGGAAGGAAGGAAGGAAGGAAGGAAGGAAGGAAGGAAGGAAGGAAGGAAGGAAGGAGGGAGGGAAGGAGGAAGAAAAAGCCATTTCCGTGGTTTCCTGGAACACTTCACTTTTATCTGCTTTGTAACCTTAGACCAGTTTCTTTTTTTCTCTGAACTTGGTTTCTTCATCTGGTAAATGGGGATGAAAAGAGCACCGACCATCCCAGAAATTAGAACATATATAATGTTTTCTCATCATTAGTAATAGGTCTTCTCTCTTTTACCCACCCAGCACCCCCTAATGTGCTGTGGCCCCATTTTATAGAAAGGAAAACTGAGAACCCAGGAGAGTAAGCAGCTCGCCCTGGCTCCTTCCAGAGACAAAACAAAAAACCAAGCTTCCCTCACTTTCAGCTTGAGTTCCATACACGAGACCCAGGATTTGTACACCTTCCCGGTCCGCGGCCACTTGGAAGGACTGAGCAAAGACAGGGGACAAGCTCTGCCACCACCTCGGTTCCCCCCTGGCCACCCTGACCGCTGCTGACAAGCTGGCCCAGAGTCCGACCCCGGAGGGCAGCAGGGGAAGGGAGGTCACTCACTGCAGGCGTCACTCTTGCAGTAGACAGAGGGTACCCAGAGGTCCGAGGAACCAGTGTCAAACACCACGGTGAAGTCCTGGGGTGGGGTCCCGATGCTGATCTTCCCAAAGTACTGACTCTGAGGACAGAGGGCACAGGGTCAAGGGCGTGGAGGGCAGTGGGCAGGTGAGGGTTGATTCCAGGCACAGAGCCTGCTCAGGTTTGTCGACCCTGTGCTTTCTGCCCAGAGACCCGGGAGGTCAAAGGGGAAGAAACAGGGGAGGGTTCTCCAGCCCTTACGCTGGGTGTCCACCTCCCCGCTCCCAGCCACACCTGGTCTGCCCCTCCCACCGGCCCTACGACCACTGCCGGGATCTGCCCCCAAAGCAGACTTTAGACCAAAAAGTAAGCCCTGCCTTGACTTTAGATCAAAAAGTGAGACTGGGACACCTGCCAGGGGCAGGGACAGAGAGGGGAGCACCAGTTAGGTACAGGCCTCAAGTCTCAACCCAGCTGTGCCTGCCACACTCCTCGCCAGCTCTCCCCGTGTGTCAGAGCTCGGGCTGGGGTGGGTGGAGGGTGGTGAAGATGACCTCGATGAGGAAACAAGAACGCAGAGAGAAAAGGCGGGTGTTTATTGCCAAGAGGGACAGATGAGAGAGTCAGGCTCCAGGAAGAAAGCAGGCTCAGGGCTTTCCTGCCGTGTCCTGGGCAGCTGCAGAAAGGCCACCAGCTGCCCATCCCTGCTGAGCCCAGAATGGGACATGGGCTGCCTGGGCCAGGAAAGGCAAGGCAGGCGGGTGTGAGGTTGGATCTGGGAGCAGATGACGTCCCCCCGCCAACACCCCCATCCCAGGGATGTTGTCTACAGGAAGGAGAAGGTCGTCTGAGCTCAGACCCTTCCAGCCAGACACTAAGAGCCTTGAAGGCGGGAGCGTAGGGTGGGGAGGCAGCCTCCACACCCCTCTGGGCTGGGTGACCCCTGAAATGGGGGCCAAAGGTGGCGATGGAGGTGGGGCAGGGGCATCCCCCATACCCTGTATGAGAATCATAACTAGAAGACTGGCAGAGCCACTCACGTCCAGGTAGTTCACCAGGGGCTCGCGGGCCACCTTGCCGACGCCGGAGTTCTCCTTGCTGATGGCATAGCGGTGCGTCCTCAGAAAGTCCTCCAGGAGCCCACGCTCCTTCAGGGCCTTTCTCAGCGACTTGCCTTTGTGCAGAGGGACCCTGAGGAGAAGGAAAGGTTAGCAAGGAGGGTTAACATCCCACAGGCCGCCCAGCCTCTGAGGAGCGCCTGGATGCTCTGGGCTCTGCAGACCACTCCCCTGCTGTTTTATCATAACACAAAGTAAAAAATATATTTTATATGAGTTCACATGTCAGTGCCTACCCTGACTCAGCATAGTGCACTCTGATATTTTCTACTTCTTTCTCTCTCTCTTTTTTTTAATGCTGGTGGAGACTCGGTAGATACATTTTATAACCCACTAATGAGTTTTGCAACTCTGAGGTTTGAGAGACACTGAGCACGTTATCATTCAGTTTCCAAAGTCTTACCGTTCACCTACGATGTGCCAGACACTGTACGAGGCACAGGGGACACAGTAGTGAATAGGGTTGGGTCTCTACCCTCCTGAGCACACTGTCCGGATTGAAAAACTTTGTCCCCGACACTAGTAAATACTAGGCCAGTGCTCCCGCCCTTTGTAACCCCTTTTCTTGGCTCTCTTGGTAGCCTACGGTGGGGGAAATTCTTCAGAGGCTTTCAGCGGAGCCCGTGGTCCCCAGCCCAGGGAGCTCCCAATAGAGTTCGGGTGTTGGGTGACGGAAGCAGATCAACAGGAACAGAATGGAGAGGGGACACGGCAGGAGCTGGTCCGTGGCACCTTGAGCGGCTCCCGGAGACCTCTGAGCTTCAGCTCCCTCCTCTGCAAAACAGATTAACTCTTTCCTTTCCAGCCACTCTCCTGGCCCTGCCTTTGACCGAGCGGTTTCGCTTCTCTGGCCCTTGGTCTCCTCTCCCGGAGGCTGAAGGAATGGAGCTTCCTGATCCCCAGCGGCCCTTCCAGCTCCCAGAGTCACATGGTTCTCCCGCGTTGGGCTGACTTGAGGGTAACGAGACTACAGATGTGCAAGTGCTTTGAGGGTAATAAAATGGCAGCAGTTTTAAGACGCATACAGAAAATGACGTTTCGTGTGTTATTCACGACCCCATATGGAACAGCTTTGTGTGTGAATTATGGTCTGTCCTTAGATGCCTCTCGCCCTGAGCCCTCGTGTGTGACCTCAGCCAGGACCTGACTTACAAATGAAAGCTCTCGAGACATTTCTCAGCCTTGGTCTCTGATGATAGAAAAGGACTTAAGCCTTAAGGGAAGGAGGCTGGGCTGAGCTCCTGGGACCAAGCCCACAGCTGCTCTTTCCTGTGTCCCTATGTCCAGGTCCCCAATGCTTCTTGCCTGCTCAGCTCTGGTTCCCAATCAACTCATCCTCTCCCTGCTACATGCCTGGTGACTCCCACAGCGGTAACCGTGACTCCGCTGAGCTGTCTTCTCCCAGCACAAGGTCCCAAGAAACTTCCCTCAAAACAAGCTCAAGCCTGGAAACCAGAAGTAGTGTGATATCACGTCAACACGCAAGTCCACTTGGGACCAAATCCCAACTCCCGCCTTACGAACCACGTGGCCTTGGGCAGCTCTGACCCTCCCTGAACCAGCATCCTCAGTGGTAAAATGCAAATAATATTCACCTAGTCCATGAGGACTAGTGAGACTATAGGTAAAATCTAGTTACGTGTCTGGCACCTGGGAGCAAGCACCTCAATAAACATCAGTCGTTATTTTGGGAAGAGAACCTGGGAACGTCACCCACAAAGGACTTGGTACCACAGAGAACTTCATTTTGTTTGACAAATGCATACATGGCTCTTACAAGGTGCCAGGCGTTGTTAAAAGCATCTTATGACTATTAGCTCATCTGCTCCTCATAACCCTAAGAGACAGATGCTTCTGTCATCCTAATTAGACCACGGACTAAGAAACTGGGCACAGTGGGTCAGGTTCGAGTTGGAGCTGGGGATCAAACTGTGGACAGTTTGACTCCAGAAGCCAGGACCTCAGTCTCCCAGGCTGCCCCACACCTTGAAGTGTAGAGGAAAAGGTCCCAACGTGCGACGGGGCTGACAGGGAACGATTATTTTGGGGACCTGCTGCATTTACTCCAAAGACTTCCCAGGGGAACCGATGGCTGGAAGACCAGGGAGAGGCCAGCCCAGAGGGATGCTCAAGATGCCCTTCCCATCCCCTGGAGCTTGACACCCACCTAGTGATGCCACTGCCCTGGGTCAGAGTGAGGACTGCAAGTAACACCACGAGACACTTCATCCTGGATGGTAGGCCGACCGCAGCTGGAGCCAGTGCCCGATCCTCCAGCCTTTATGGAGGGTGTGCGGTTCCCTCTGGCGGGGAGCCCAGGCTGCAGAGATAGCCTCTGACTTCCAGCCGCTCCACAAACACATTAAGATAGCACCCCAGACTGCCGATACCTCCTCCGATAAAGGCCAAAGTTCCACCACTCCAGGGACTTCAAAGATGAAGGGTACACATGCCGAGAAATGTCACACGGGTCCCCCAATCTGATATTCCCTTCCAAACAAGACTTCCTAAGCTAATGCAGATCGGGCCACCAGCAGAAACCTGTCCATGCTCCACCTTATGGAGTGTCAAGAAGCCTACGTGCAACAGACCCCACTCCACTCCTGCCCCCACATCCTCCCCTCCCTGGGCCTGACTTCACGGGAGCTGGCAGCTTGGCCTGTCCAAGAGCCCCCAGCTCAGTCCCCCAAGCCCAGTTTTCCAGAGAGAAATCAGTCTACCCCCAAAATGGCATCTGAGGCAGAGAGTGTTCAATTTGTCACCCGGGGTCTAAGAGAGACAGCAGGCCCAAGACCCCCGCACACCCAGGGCTGTGGCCCTTGGCCCATGTTCAGAGGGTGCTGGGAAGGGGAGGGGTAGATCCTGGATCCAATGAGCAATTGGGAGGACGGAGGAGGTGAGCAGGGAGGTGAGCAGGGAGGTGAGCGGGGAGGTGAGCGGGGAGGTGAGCGGGGAGGTGAGCGAGGAGGTGAGCACGGAGGCAGACGTGTGCCGTGAGCGGGGAGGTGAGCGGGGAGGTGAGCGGGGAGGCAGACGTGTGCCGCACGCAGAGAGGAAGAAGGAAGCTGTGACATGATGGTCAGCTTTAGGGAACAGGTTAGGCCAAGACTTGGCATCTGAGGCCCACCCAGGGGTCCAGGAGAAGCCTCTGGGAAGCACACACGCAGGGGCTGTGATGGGTAGAGGGTCCCAGTGTCTGGGCCAGACGGGCCACACATGCCTTCGGGCCTGCAGCCGGAGCGAGAATGAGGGCGTAAAGGAAGACAAGGACTCAGCCATGGAGGGGGTGGAGAAAATCATGTCCCGGCAGTGAGCGGAGGCTATAAACTGGAAACTCAGCACCGAGTCAGGGCTTGGGCACCACGGGTGTGCAGGGGACAGCGATGCAGGCCGCGGACACCAACACCGCGCAGGAGAGACATCTACATAGCGGGGGGAAGAGGAAGGCGTGGGACAGGGACAGAGAGGGCGGGCAGGGCGGGCTGAGCGGGCAGACGGGTGGGATGTGCTGGGCCCGGGCGTGGGTGGGGGGCGCCTCAGAGAGGGACAGACCCGGAAGTTCCCTGTATTTGACTTGTAAGGGCCTCAGGGAGGAGCCTGAGCACGACTGTCCGCAGGGAAACTGGATGTGTTAAGACAAGAGTTAGGAGGACAGCAGGTCTGATCCCCGCCATGGCAATGTCCCACCCACATCCCTGCCCTGGAGGCTGGATACTGCCGCTCTCCACGCCCCGCACAAGCAGCTGTCTTCACAGCACGGCCCTTTTCAAAAGCCAGAAAAACACGCTGAAGGGTGGGGTCTGTTTCCTGTTCCTCCCTGAGGACGTTGCCTGCCAGGCGGGGGCCTGCCTGTCCTGTCCCAATGGCTCTACATCTAGGTGGCGTTTCTTCCCATATGCCTATGCCTAGCATGACACGTAGTAGATGCTCAATAAACGTTTGAGCATTCATAAGCAAATGAATGAATAGATGGTCTTCCCGTTGCTCTTGAGGAACAGCGGGCTGCACCTTTCTTATGTCCTGCAGACGAGGACATGGAGGCTCAGAGAAGTTAAAGGGTGTGCCCGTGACGAAGAAGAGTTTGAGTAGTCACCAGACCCCTGGTCTGACGTGCTACACACTACATCGCAGGGCCAAGCATGCTGTGGAAATGTCATGAGTTTACAGTGTCAAGCCTGGGGGTCACTCTGCTTCTAGCTTGCCCCTTCCAGACTCCGGACACCCGTTGGGGCCACCATATCCATGGGCTGCAGGCCCATTTGCAGCATCTGGGGCTGAGACCCTCTGGGCTCAGTGACATCAGGTGGCAGTGTTCCATCACTCTGTCCCATGTCACCAGTGTCCCAGGCTGACCCAGCAGCAAACATTCCCAGACAATGAGCCTTGGAAGTGAGGCTTGGTCATCTCTCCCACTGGAAGGTGACCCTCAAAGCCAAGAAACAAAGATCCCTTGGCACTGGCTGCTCTGTGTTTATCCGCAAGATTGGGACGTTCTAAGAGCAGTCGGGCTCACTATCAAGAATGCTGCCCCAGGCTGCACAGAGCGTTAAGACTGTGTATCCAAGAGGGTGGAAGCAGGTGAGACCTGCAAAAGGCTTTCAGAAAAGCCGCGATAAGATTTCATTACTGGTTACCCAGGGCCAGGTGGGGACAACTCCACGGCGTAGATTCCCTGTGAGTGGGGACTGACCCACAAACGTATCTAAAACAAAATCAGGGCTGGGGACAGCTTCTCCTGGGTACCCGACCTTGTAATCTCCACTCAACCGTGAGCAGCAACAAAGCCAATTCAATTCGATTTCTTGAACACTGGACCTAGAGATAGGGAGCTGATATCATGTCGACCCCCGGGAAGCCCACAGTCAGGTGGGAGCAGATTGGATCCAATAGGGGACCCTGCTGTGATAAGCACTATGGGAGGAGAGCCAAAGGGACAGACATCGCCTGCCGCAAGGGGCCAGGAGGTAGGGCAGGCAGGGGAGGCAGGGGAGGCAGGGGAGGCGGGGGAGCACGGTCTCCGGAAAGTGCAGGATCCTGGGCTTGAATCCTGGGTCTGCCACGTGGTGGTGCCTCGGTTTCCTCTTCCCCAGAGACAACGATCCTGAGAGGGTCACGGGAGGATCAAAGGAAAGAGACTGAAGCGCTTTCCTGCGTTAAGCCTTCTGCAAATATGAGTCACAAATGACTGTACTTGGGTGACAGTCTCAGCTCCTCATCTGTGAAACGTGAGATTTACAAGCTCATGGAGCTGGAGTGTATCTCAGGTGTGTACAAAGCATCATCGGTTCTTTTCTTGTTCTGTACATCAATGGAATTTCTGCATTGTGCCCCCAAACCTCCAGGCTGGGGGGAAATTAACCGTAGTCATTTATGCACAGAGCCCCGCAGAGGTGCTTCCACTCATGTGACTCTCCAGCCTGCCGAGGTTCAGGGGGGCGCCCAGTGGTCTTTTCTTGTCCCTGCCCGGGGCCCCTGTTTCCTCTGCACCTCACCTGGGCCAACCCAGCCTTCTGGAAGCTGCTGGTCATACTCCCCCAGACAAGCCACACGGCCGCTCCTCTCTGGTCTTTCCGCCTCCCTGTGCCACCACCAGGAAGCAGGGTCCAGGGCCCTGCCATTCAGGACCTGCCTGTCTCCTCCACCTCTTCCTTCTGCATCCTCGAGGCTTCAGGAAACCATATCCGGACCTGGAATTCCTGTAGGTCACCTCTGCTTTCTGCCCTGCCCACATCTCCCTCAAGGCAAAGAAAGCCAGAGCTGGCTTTTCCTTTCCTGAGGAAAAGAGAGAGAAGAAGATGACAGGATTCTTTAAAAAAATCATAAATCAGTATCTCAAAATATTATTCAACCATACTACAAGTCTATAACAGGCATTGTGCGCTTACTGAGTGTCCGACACCCAGCATTTACTCCTTTAAAGTATCTTCATTTTACAGGACAGCAAACAGGAGCTTGGAAAGCCTAGTTCTTTTCCCAAGTCACTCAGCTAATGACGAATGGAGCTGGGATTTAAACCTGTCTGTCTGATTCTTGACTGCACATCCTCTCAGTATGACCACATGACCCTCCCAGCACCAAACTTCTGTAATCGAGCAAAGATAACTGCATTACGTCCACGCTTGACAAGCCTCGGGCTAAATAAGATCAGGGGTCCTGGAGTCCTTCCTGTAGGACATAGGAACATCAGTGGCTCAACTGGGAGAGACCTCGGGAGGGTAGAGACCCTGAGAACATGTCAGAAACTGTCCTGCACATTTGTAAAGTCCCCGCCCTTCTCCCTTCCAGCTCCTAAAATGATCCCTGTGGGTGATGTACTGGCCATCCACCAGCCGTGGCCGTCAGAACTTCCGAAAATTTTTTAGCGCAGTGCACACCAACACTGTGCAAACGAAACAGATCGTGTGCAGGTCAGATACAAAGCCCAGCCATCCGCTGGCCGTCTGAGGCAGGTGTGGCGGAGACCCAGACGGCGGTGGGTTCAGGTGCGTCTGCACTACCACCACCTACTGGCTGCCACAACCACCAGTCAGCGCCAGTGTGGGAAACCAGCCCGGGGACACCAGGACTTTCCATTTTCCAAGAGACACAGGAAATGTGGCTTTGGGGGAAAATATACCAACTTTTACATGAGGGTAGCCTTTTACGCTTACACTGTGCAGACGAAATAAGACAGGCCTGCCGGCAAGTACCCCAGGATGAGCCACTTCACTTATTGGCAGAGCCCAGAAAAAAAGAGAAGTTTCTGAGTCCCTGGCCATGATGAAACCAACCAGTGGCTCCTCCAGCCTGGACCAGCCTGGGACTGGAGCAGGAGGCACAGAGGAGAAAGGATGGGCAGAGGGAAGGGATGCAGGATGCCCAGCCCCAGCTGGCTCAGCCTAAGGAGGCAGGTCCCCAAGAGAACCTGCCTCGGGGTTCACTTGTTTTCTTTCATCCGGTCTCTGCCTGAAGTGACATCCAAAGGTTTGCAGCATCTCCTCACCAATGGGAGGACTAACACCCAGCCGTTAACCAAAGAGGGCTTTTTCCTCTGAGATGAATGTATGTTAAAAATATCAAATATTAATCACTGGCAATATTAATTTATAAGAACGCTTGTCTCTCTCTCTCAACTTCCAAGTCGGCATCTGGTGTGACTACTTTGAAACTAACACTTCGTCTCGGGAATTATAAATAGCCAGAGTTAAAATCTTCACCTTAAACCGAGCAGACACACTCCGTGGGGTCCA